CCACACCCCCCTTTCTTTGAAACGAACAACAAGTGCCATTTAGTCTGTGAGTGTCCCAAGTGAGTAATGCCACCCATGCCACCCTCTCGCTCTCACCCTGCCTCCCTCTCTCTCACTCTTCCCTCTTGAAAAAACATAATACTCTGTAATTCCCCTACCTGTGTCCCTTTCCGAGTGACGTCAACAGAATAAGGTTACAAAAAACGAAATATGATGCAATTTTAAAGAATAATTGAGAAAAAAGGTTAAAAAAAAGGCAAGTAAAAAATGCATAATTTTTATATTTAACGGGGGCTTTAAAAGTTGCGTGAATTTCGAGGGGAACTTTATTGAAAATAGATTAAAGATATTTAAGATATTTAACTTTTTTAAGTACAATTTTAGATTCAATATAAAATAATATGTTTTTAAGTAAATTATAGGTATAGGTATAGGTATAAGTAAATTAAAACACCTAAGTCATTAACAAAATATTATATAGATTTTTTTAAGTTTTGGAAACATTTGTGCTTTTTAATTCAATGTATAATATTATATTACCTTTCTTTTTAGTTTTGGGTTTTTTCCTGTAGTTATTTCTAGTTTTATAATTAAACGATTCGAGAAATCTTTCCAAAATGTAACTTTTCAAAACCAACAAATAAGAACAGCTATACGATACCCAATACTCTATCGCTCTCGTTACTCTTTACCTCTTTATATACCAGTTACTTCTCATAAAATGGTAATCTGTTACATACTTTTGGGTGCTTCGACAAGCCAGTAGGAAAGTAGAATAAAAAGTTATCAATCGTCCGATTTTGCTAAAATTTTTTGTAGATACAAATTTTAAAAATTTTAAGAATATTTTAATATTAAACTTTTACTTTACAAGTACCGGGTATAACAATTTGGATAGTACTTATTATGAAATCCAAAAAAATAAAAGTAAAAATTAAATTATTTTCAATATTGCTTTAAATTTAAAATTAAATAAATACATTTTTTAGGTCAACTAAAAGCTTTACTGAAAATAATAAGCGATATACCGACATTTTTAACCATTTGTGATGCTTATTTATGTTTAAAAATCGTTAAAAAAAAAACCAAAAACAATAACATTTATTTTTAAACATTTATCAAGTCCACAAAAGTTATTATCTACTTCCTGGGAAACAAAAATATAGCCAAAATGGAACAAAGGCAAACATGGAAAGGTGTGCTCCAAAACGTAGAGTCAACATACAAAAAAGATATATGTATAGTCGAATACAGATATAAGTGTATGTATATGTATGTACAAAAATTAAAAATAAAAAAAAATAGAGCACAGTCTACCGAATTAAAAACGTATTAATTTTTGCAACGGACAAGTTGGCTTTTTAATGTGAAAATAATTGCAATTGTTTGGCCAAAATACAGGTTTTTTTTCAGATATCAAGGTTTTTTGTTTTTTCGATTTTTATTATTTTATAGTTATATAATAATTATTTATGATTGTGGTCTATTTTGTGAGGCACTTTGTCTTTTATTTTGTGCCACTTTCTCCACCCACATCTACGTGTCTTACAAGCTCTCTATTTTGCGGGTAATTCGTGTTTTATGGCTTATTGTTTTGGTTTCAAATTTTGGCATTTTGCTCTTTAATTGTTTTCACAAATTTATTGGGGTTAAGGCCTTTCCGACTGGCCATCACCCTTGTTGGTTTAATTTTTAAGCTCTAGACACTGTTTATTTATTAAATATATAAAAATAAATACACAGGAAAATATTTTAGGGGGTCTTATAAAAATGAGAAATATATAACTAAAAATCTCCTTTTAGTGTGAAAACCTATTAAAATAGATCTATTTTTGTTTTATTAATTATTGGTTTAAATATTTTTTTATTTTCTGTGTAGTTTTATATTTATTTCTTGATTTCTTTGTGCTTTTGTTTTCATTTTTCAAAAACGTGCAAAATGCGAAAAACGATTTCTCTTTTTTCCATTTTTATTGATATTTTTTTTGTTCGGGGGGGGCGTAAACATTGCCAAAAACAAAAAAAAATTAAAAGGAAGAAAACCAAAATTTGTGGCCATTTTGCATTTGCCACTAACGGTAAATGTATGAATTTATGACTGCTGACAGGTAATATAGTTCTAACTCTTTCACTCTTCAAAGGAAATATAATTTTGTTGGCCAAGAAATATGTTAAATTTATTTTGTATATAATAGACTATAAAAGTCTATTTAAATAAATGAAATTTTCATGTAAAATTAAGGTAATTAAATTTTAGCATTTAAATATTTATTTAAATTAATTGTATTTTATTTCTTAGATTTTCTCTTCAAAATAAATTTAATTTAATTTCTTGTTTTGTATTTCGCATTGCAGTCGCAGTCGTTTCTGGCGCAAACGTCAACGTCGCCGTCACCGTCTCTGCCGGCGTCGATGCTTGCTTCTTATAGGAATTTTCAAGGTCATGCGCACATGCGAAATATTTTTTTTCGCTGCTTTTTGTTTTTTTTTGGTTTTGCTTTGCTTAAGTGTGTGTGCATTTTGTTTTGTTTGCAAAATTGCGATTTTTCGGCAGAGGAGAGTTGGAGGGGGGGACTGCGAATAGGCAAGGTGACCATGAGGGGGAAGGGGTTAGGCGACGGGATGGTGGGTGGTAAAGTTTAGCGACCCTCCCTAGCAACACGTGGGCCTGCTGTCTCTTTCTATTTATCTAGCTGCCTCTCTGTCTGGCTGCCTGTCTTGAAATGCAATATTACGTATACATACGTAATGTATTTTTCAAAGAAAAAGTTTAAATGAAATATGTTACAAAACAAATAGTTTTAAAAAGCTATTTATTAAATTTTTAGGCAATTGAATTAAGATTGTATTTTTATTTTATATTTTTTTTTACATTTCCTAAAGGGTTCTGCTTCTTTGTAATTTTTTTCTGCTTCCATCATCTTGTTTTTTTTTGGGTTTTAATTTCTAACTGGAGGCTAAAATAAAAAACACATACATTAAAAAAACTTAAACAAAAAACAGCAACAGAAAAGCAAGAATTTCCTTTTACCGTTTTTTTTTTTTGTTTGTTATTGGAAACACATTAAAAGAAACAGCGAAATGTAGTATAATACAAAAAATTATCTAGATTTTTTTTTATAGATATTACGTTAGCTTTTAACCCCAAACATTTCAAACAATTGGAGATCACATGATATTCCCGACACTCCCCTTCCCTTTCTCCACCTCCCCTTCTCACTCTTTTTGTGTTTGCAAAAGTAAAAACATACTACAGTGGGCACTCATAGAAAATATAAATAATATATTTAAGTATAAGTTTTTATTTAAATTTATTTATAACAAAATATTAAAAATAGATATATTTAAGACTTTACAAAAAATTTAAAATAATTCTTTAAAAGTATAAATATTTTTGGCCACAAATGTGAACATCTTTCTTACTTTTCTAAAAACCTGTGAAAAATATTAAGTATTTATTTTATTACTTAATTAAATTAATAACTAAAAACACAATCCCTTTTTTTATTTTTAATAGAAAAAATTCGTTTATCTCTTAGTGAGTTATCATTGTGATTGAATAATAATATTGAAACAATTTTCAATAAATTTGTTTCATTTTCCATTTTATTTTCTCACTCATTTCTAAAAATTTTCTAAAAATGGTTTCTGAGAAAAAAATAAATAAATAGAAACTGCAGCTCGCGTCGCTTCTTCTAATGTCTCTGCTTCTTGCGGGCGTTTGGCTAGTATTAGTGTTATTATTAGTATTAGTTCATGCTTTTGAAGTGACCTTGAAAAAGTTTACTAACATTTCGCATTTTTGGGCGTTTTTCTCCCGTCCCGTCGGCTTTCTATGCGATTATTTGGCTCTTCTATGCAATTTTTTGTTGCTTTGTTGTTTTCTTTCCTTGGCACCCCCCCACCCCCACACCCCCCATGGGCAATGCTGTCTCGTTCGCTCTTAATACCTGGCTGCAGCTGACGCAAATTAGGAAAGAGATGGAGAGAGAGTACAGTGGGACTTCTACAAGTTTTCTATCAAAATTAAAATTAAATTACAAAATAATATTCTTCTAATTATAATTATAATTAAAATAAATTTCTTATTTTAAAAGAATTATTTTATATATTGTAATAGAAACCGCCTTACGGAAGGTGACCTGTATTTTTTCGAGTGCTCCGAGTATTTCTAGGTTATGGTCAAGGCGAAACTCAAGCAAATTTGAAGGCTAAATACAATCGAAAAAAAAATCACGCACACACTGGGAGAAAGACTGAGAGAGTTCTCGTGCCTGTGGTTAAAAAATTTTGTTTTTTTTTTTTTTCGAATTCTTTCTGGTGAGTGATAATGCTTTTGTTTCTATTTACCGTCGTGCTCTTGTTCTCTGCTCCCCTTTTTGATGCTTTTATTTGTTTACGCCTCCGCAAAAGGAGCAATAGGGACAGCAAGCGAAAGAGCCGCAGACCGAGAGAGAACGAAAGTAATGGAGCTTGGGGAGCTCGGAAGGGAGGGGGCAAGGAGTAGGAGCGCGATTAGACAAAAATTTCGCCGAGAGATAAAGGTGTGTTGAACTTTAGCAAAGTACGTTCAATAAATTATATTTATTTTTGTTTTAACAGGCTGGCGAATATCTTTGCATTTGGATTCGGATTATTATTATTTGTTTTTTCTTTCTTTTTTTTGGCGCTTTCAAAACAAACAAAGCCCGTTCTCTCCTGCGTTATGCCGCTCTCTCACCTTCTCCCGTTCGCTCTCTCCTCTCTTTCAGAATTTTGCACGTGTATATGCGGCGGCTTTTCTTCTTCTTTGCTTTTTACACGTAGCTTAAGCTCGAATTGTGCGCCAGAAGGAGAAAGCGAATGCGCAGACGACATGCGAGCGAGCGGGAGGCCAACAGAGGGGTTAGTAAATACAAATAAGCCGCCGATTTCGTGCCACTGACGTCAACTTAGAAAAGACTTAATATGTGGCAGGCTTAAAACTAAAAATTTTAATACTTGACATAAACCGTACATACCTTTTTACTTGGCTTGGTAATTAAATCAACACTATTCGCAATTTATTTGTGTTTATAAACAACCGCACATAAGCCGCTTTAAGCTCTGTTCGCGACTTTGTATGTCCGTTTGTGGGCTATCTTTTGGTTTTTCAGGTGGGATAAATAACTGATATTATTTTCGTTGTTTCAATTTATTCTCACACTAAAAAAAATTGTCTAAATTTGTCAATTGTTGACCAGACGTGTGGCATTTGTTGTTCTTATTTTCGATTTGTTGTTGTTAGTTTCGCTTTTGCGATGCGGTATTTTAATACTGCAATGGCGTCAGTGTGTGCACACTAGGTCTGGGGAAAATATATTTATAGAGACGTGCAAAAGTTTTGGCGGGTAAATAAAAAAATTCAAAATGTTATTCAAAAAATTAATAACAAAACTTAAAAACTAGCTGTAACTTTGAATTCTGGTACGAAAATGTATGTAATCATTGCTTAATCATTTTTGTAATCTTTAATTTTGTAATCATTGTAAATATATTTAGAAAGAAAGTCTTTCCTTTATTACGAAAATTTAAAATTTAAGACTAAATCATTTCTAAATGAGAACATCTTTTATTTCCATGGCTAATCTCAGAAACCCTTGATCAAAACCAGGGCCGTAGCTAGAGCCTCGGGGGCCCTGGGGCAACAAGTAAATTTGGGGCCCCCTATACGGAAGTCTTTTGCCCCGGCGGGGCCCTTTCCCTTCGGGGGCCCTGGGGCACCGCCCCACCTGCCCCATGCTAGCTACGGCCCTGATCAAAACATAATAGTGGCTCTTCAAGAATATCTATTTCATCGCGATAGTTGCATGACTATCGTTAAGAACCAACTGACAGCACTAGCGCGCTCGCCCACCTGGTCTGTGGTCACACTGGCCCGCCGCAGTTTGCAATTTTGTAGTTGGCGAAACATAGAAACAAAAACCAGAACAACACCAAGCGCGTGCTGCACAATTCTGCGGACATTCGGCGAGGTCTTCCGGTCGTCGGCGTTCAGTTCCAGATTTTTGGCGTCGCTGACCCGCAAGCCGGGCGAGTTGGTTTGGAGAAGGAGGGACAAGATGTCAGAGCCACCGGATGGCGGCAACAGAAAAGCTGAGGAGAAGACGGAGAACAAATCAGAAAATCCTTCCGAGTCCGATGGGGATAGGAGCTCCACATGCTCTCCGGAGCAAACGTGGCGCGGGCAGCCGATAGAAGCCATACATCGGGGACTGCACCTCTTTCAGCTGGAGCACCTGGGCCCGGTGACGCCCAGCAATCATCACAGAGTTCTCTACCAAACACCCATCCGCGAGCCGCCGGATCAGCCGCCGCGCCCGCACAAGGCTCCTGGCAAATGGGACTCGGAGCATGTTCGCTTGCCGTGCGCCCCGGAGAGTAAATATCCGCGGGAAAATGACGACGGCACCACCACTATCGATTCTCGTTGGGAGATGATCGAACGCGCCCTGCTCCAGCCCATAGAAACCAGCGAGGAGCTCCAGGCAGCCATTCTGTCGTATAATACCACCTACCGGGGCCAGTGGGAGTTCCGGGCGCTGCATCAGTTGCTGGAGGAGGAGCTGGACGAGAGCGAGTCGCGGGTGTTCTTTGAGGATCTGTTGCCGCGCATTATACGGCTGGCGCTGCGCCTGCCGGACTTGATTCAGGCCCCGGTCCCGCTGCTCAAGCAGCATCACACGGCGTCGTTGTCGTTGAGCCAGCAGCAGATCGCCTGCCTCCTGGCCAATGCCTTCCTATGCACCTTTCCACGCCGGAATACCCTCAAGCGGAAGTCGGAGTACAGCACTTTTCCAGATATTAACTTTAACAGGTGAGGATCTTGAAATCCACACCCAGTCTAAGGAAACCATAACCTTTATTTGTTGCAACCTATTTCTTTTAATTGCTCATCCATTAACCTCCGAATCTTCCACAGACTCTATCAGTCCTCGGGCCCGGCCGTGCTGGAGAAGCTCAAATGCATTATGCACTATTTCCGTAGGGTCTGTCCCACGGAGAGGGACGCCAGCAACGTGCCCTCGGGCTGCGTGACATTTGTGCGGCGTAGTGGGAAGCCGGAGCACCAGGTGGACTGGAGCCAGAGCGCCGCGCCGCTAGGATCTGTGCCCCTGCACGTGGACGCAGCGGGAACGATCGAGGACGAAGGCGTGGGACTGCTACAGGTGGACTTTGCCAACAAATACCTTGGCGGAGGTGTGCTGGGTCACGGTTGTGTCCAGGAGGAGATCCGGTTCGTCATATGTCCGGAGCTGCTGGTGGGGAAACTCTTCACGGAATGCTTGCGACCCTTCGAGGCCCTGATCATGTTTGGAGCGGAGCGCTATAGCAACTATACGGGCTATGCTGGAACGTTTGCCTGGGCGGGCAACTACGAGGATGCCACGCCCAGGGACTCCTCGCGTCGTCGTCAAACGTCAATAGTGGCCATTGATGCTCTGCGCTTTGCCCAGGCCGAGCACCAGTACCGCGAGGACTTGATGGAGCGGGAGCTGAACAAGGCGTACATTGGATTCGTTCACTGGATGGTCACGCCGCCGCCGGGAGTGGCTACGGGCAACTGGGGCTGTGGCGCCTTCGGCGGTGACCCCTACCTGAAGGCCGTTCTCCAGCTGATGGTCTGTGCCCAGCTGGGCAGGCCCCTGGCCTACTACACCTTCGGCAACTGCCAGCTGAGAGATGACTTCCACGAGATGTGGCAGTTCTTTAGGAGCTCCAACGCCACCGTCCAGCAGGTTTGGAGTGTTCTGAGGAGCTACGTGCAGGCGAGGGATCAGAAAAAGAGCAAGCCGAGCAAAATGAGGCTCTACGAGTTCATAAAGGAGGAATTAAAAAAGGGTGGAGCTGCCGGAGGGGGCGCCCCTGGAGGGTCGGTATCTGCAGCGGCAGGAGCGACTGCAGCTGCTTCCGGATCCCAGGCAACGCGTACCAAGAAACAGAAAACCAGTCCATCAGCAGCGAGTAACCAACCAAGTCACCAAGCCAGCAGTAACCAACAGAGTCCAGACATTTTCGCTTCCCAATCGTCGCAGGACAACTCCAACTCTTCGCAGGATCAAGTTGCCCTGCTGCTGTCCGACGACGAGGAGGCCAATGCCATGATGATGGCCGCCAGTTTGGAGGCGAAAGCCAGCGACGAACTAGGAACGCCGGCCAAAGCCACCAACGTGAAAGGCGGAGGAGCAACTGCGGGATCGGGGGCGGGCGGAACTCGCCAGCTGACACTCCTGGAAATGCTGGACACGCACTACGAACAGGGTCAGGCCTCCAAGCGGCCGCGCCCCTCGCCCAACTGCCCGAAGGCCGGCGGCCAGGGGCCCGCGAAGAGTCGCAAGGAGAACGACGAGGATGTGGAGGCCAGTGGCAAGTAGCGGCAGGATCCAAGCACTCGGAATCAGGACTAAGTGATACTAATGTAAAGGATTTTAACTAAAGTAGTGCGACGACGAGAGAGGGGGCTGTTAGTCCTTGAAGTTGTTAATTATTTTTGAATTTCCAAACTTACCACTTTAGAGAATTAGTTTTAATATTTTTTTTTTTGGATTTAAATCTAGTTACAATTGTTAAAAATAAAAACTGTAACTACCAAAGAAGGACTTTTTTTTTCATAAACAAAGGTACTAACTAAGTATAATTGTTGTAACATAAGTTAAGCTCAAATATTAGATCTATAATCTATATAGCTTCGAATCTTATATTCCCAGACTTATAAATGGAGTTTGCTGTCATTATCAATGTGCGTTGATTAAACAATATATTAAAATAATATATAAACCAAAAGATTATGAAAGGATTATAGTTATAATCTGTGATGAGAATTTGGAAAACTCTATCGAAGAGAATGTTACGAAAGGACCCCCTGCTTTTGTCTTCCTCTCTCGTTGTTTTAGATTCTAGTATCTAGATCATAGTCTGTAGTAGAAACCAACTCCCACATAGTGTAAAGAAAGCGTAGTCATACCGTTAGTAAAGAGTTTCTTTTTTTTGTGTGAACCCAAAAATGGTATTTTTATTGTTTTGTTTCCACACCACAACAAGAACATCAACATCAACAACAGCCACAAAAAAAAGCGATCGAATATTTAGGTGTACGCATTAATGGATAATCGGAGGAGGGACATCGCCCCGTTAGTAGTGATTCCGCCGCTTGTTGGACGGACAGTACTCGGCGTACTCCTCCCAGGTGCAGCCCGGCTTCGAGCAGCACTCGTTCGTGATCGAGGGGGCGTCCGAGCGGCGACTCCGCAGGAACATGTTGGCGAAGTTCACGTGCAACCAGGTGGAGCCATTGGCTGTCGAAAAAATGGAATATAATTCAGAGCGGGCCTTTGGAGGTTATATTTTCAGGTATATATAACCTTATAAAATAATAAGCTATTTAAAGGTTTGAAAAGCTATTTAAAGGTTTGAAAAGAAGCTCTAGAAGAGTATGAACAATACAAAAATATTGTCTAATACCCGGTACTTGCAGATAAAAAGGATAAATTATGTGTAGTAGCTTTCTTCAGAAATCATTTACGACTCTATGAGGTGCAAAGCTGATTTATTTTCTCATATACTCACGGTCTTTGGATGTCTTTTTGATCCAGGACTCGTCATTTCCTGTCCTCTTCTTGTTGCGTCGCGTCAGGCGGTAAATGTCCTTCTCACAGGCCCAGTACAGTTGCCGGACGAGCTTATCCCGACAGCGAGAATGGGTCTCCTGGTGCCACACATTCTCCCAGTCAGATTGGGAACTTCAAAATAGAGTGTTTTTTATAAAATTATATGGAAAAATCATAAAAAATAATAATTGTTTCACAAATATTCAAATTATATAATAATTTTATAAGCAGGATCTTTATTTTAGGTTTGGATTTTTAATAAAAAACCCTTTAAAATTTTTCTCTAGCTTTTTATTTTGATTAAGATTTTATTTTAAGTTTCTATATAGTATTAATAAAGTTTTACTTGGCAATGGCAATATTATTTTATCTTCTTTTCTGAAGAGCTTTTGTGTAATGTATTTTACTATTATTATTATTTTATTTATTTATTTTCATACAAAAAATGTATTTTCTTGCTAAGTTTTAAAAACAAGTTAGATTTAAAAAAACAATATCTTTTAATTTTGCGTTTTTACGATAATTTTCTAGACTGTCTGTCTACATAGACATAGAAATATCAGTGCAGCATCGAAAAAATATCTGCATGAAATATAAAAATGTGTTTATATCTAAAGTAATTTTAAGATTAACCTAATGAAACTAATTTTTTTTTAAAGCTATTTTACAATCAACTTTTATGAGTGAATGACTTAAAAAAAAATTTGGGACGATATTTAAAAAAATGGCAAGATTAGACGACATTTCTGGTCTTTTTGATTTATAAAAGTTTTTAAAATTAACTTCAAAAATACCTTTCAAAATTGGAAGTTTCCCGAAACCGTTCTATACGTCATTAAAAAGGTAATATTAGTAGTAGTATTATAAACGTTTACTATGCATTTTGAATTATTTAAAATGTTTTTTTCCGTGAGCTTAAAAGATAAAGAATATCAATTCAACTTTAATGAAATAAAAGTATGAAATATTACAAAAAGCACACAAATAAAACTTTGTCTGTAAGATCAAGATCTCGTATTTGTTGATCAAGTCTGGAATGGACCCGAGATCATCGAAAAGACTTACCGCTCCCGGAAGAGAAGTTCCAGACCCTCCTCGGTGTGCTGCAGCGCCTCCGGCATGGGGATCATCGGAAGGACGAACAGGAGCACGGCACCGCACAGGGTCCAACTCCGGGGAGTGACACCCACCGAGGACACTGGCGACAACATCCTGGATATCCTAAATGATTCGGTCTGCTAGTTTCCAGCGATCTCTGGTCCAGTACACACGGCGGACAAATGGCAACTGAGCCTCTGGCCGGTGCGTTGTCCGGTTTTGAATTATAACCGGAGCCGATTCTCCGCCTGGGAATCCGCACGATGGCGGCCAGTTGTCGGGCGACGGCATAATTAAATCGGGCGGACAGCGCCGTATTTGAAGTAATGAGGCGATCCACCCAGGACCTAGGCCATGCCAGGACACGGCATCACGTCCAAGAAGAGGCCACCTCTGCGTATCGAGTCCAATGCAATCTAATGAAGAGCAACGGCAGCAATTCTATGCGCCGCTTATTGCCTTGTTTATTTGTGCGTCCAGCGGGTCGCAAATTGGACCCACTTTCTCACTATTCGCTCCTGTTACCTGTTGCACTGACAGAAATTATTTTCGAGTGTTTGTTACAAAAAGAAAAAAGGGTAGAGAAATTGACACAAAATAAAACAAATTGCAAATTATATTTAATGTTTATATTATTAAAGTGTATAAATTTTAATTTTAACAAAAATAATAAATTTTTTTTCCAATGTTTTATTTCCGTTTAATTCAAATTATTAATTTACATTTCTTCATTTGCTTTTTTTAATTTTTTTAAACATGTTGAAATTTTGACACAAATAAGTGTGCCAAATTAAATATATAATTGAATTTGTAACTGAAATACGTTCTTTTTAAATTTTAATATATATAGTTCTTATTTAATTCTTATTCATTAATTAAAAGCTTTCCAAATGCTTATTATACCCTTGCAGAGGGTATTATAATTTTGTCCAAAAGTGTGCAACGCAGTGAAGGAGACATCTCCGACCCTATAAAGTATATATATTCTTGATCAGGATCACCTCCTGAGTTGATATGAGCATGTCCGTCTGTCCGTCTGTCCGTCTGTCCGTCTGTCTGTCCGTCTGTCTGTCCGTCTGTCTGTTTCTACGCAAACTAGTCTCTCAGTTTTAAAGCTATCGTCTTGAAACTTTGCACACACCCTTCTTTCCTTTGCACGCAGTATATAAGTCGGAACGGCCCGGATCGGCCGACTATATCCTATAGCTGCCATATAACTGATTGATCGGAAATGGTATAACTTTGACGTTTTTAAAGTTACAGAGTTCAAATTTGACATGAGAGCATTTTTTGGCAAAACATTATGACATGCCAAATTTCATAAGGATCGGCCGACTATATCCTATAGCTGCTATATAACTGAACGATCGGAAATGACCCAACTTTCGTGTTTTTGAAGATAGAAAGGTGGAATTTAGTACAGATTCTATTTTTGGTCAGTTGATCCAACCTACCAAATTTCATTAGGATCGGCCGACTATATCCTATAGCTGCCATATAACTGAACGATCGGAAATGACCCAACTTTTGTGTTTTTGAAGATAGAAGTTTGGGACATTTTTAGGTTTGGTTTTTGTATTATAATAAATTGGGTTATATAATCATATTCTCATAAGGATCGGCCAACTATATCCGATGTTTGCGATATATATCCGGTTTTAACTGCAAGGGTATATAAACTTCGGCTCCGCCCGAAGTTAGCTTTCATTTCTTGTTTTTAGCAATTTTACTAATTAAATAATATAAGATTGGCAAAGGAATGTATTTTCAAAAAAATCCTTATAATCCTTGAAATAATACTTTAAATATTATAAATTTCTAGAAAAAACCACCTATATCCTGATAAAATTTTTTTATTTTTCTCCTAGTGTGGAACTTGTTGCTTGGCTTCTTCTAAACCAACAAAACATCATAAAATTCAGCAAGTTACGCTGTTGTTCCTTTTGTTTGCCTCGTAAAAAGCGCCGACTGCTCAGCACATGTTTTTATTTCGAAGTTGGCATAAATTTTCCAATATTTGCACGAATTTTAATACGGCCCACACGTCAGTAGGCAGTGGGCTTTGATATGATGAAAATTGGAAGCCAATTTAAAAAAAAAGGTCTCTTTTCTTCGTAAGATTTCTATACATGTTTTTTTAATTTTCTCTTACATGCGCCAAAATAAATTTGTTTCATAATAAATGATATAAGTTTCAAAAAGTTGAATAAGTAGTTGAATGGTTTGAGAATCGAAATGTAATTTTTTCAATTACATTATTGTATTTTTGATTCTTTAATGTGACCAACATTTAATGTAAAAAATCATTATGTTATATCAAAGATTATAAAGTACCCGAAAAATTTTAATAAAAAACCATAAAGACGCTATAAGAAAGCATGGGTCTGGGAGAGACAGAGTACCGGATATCATGCAGTTTTTGATAAAAATTATAATTTCCTATTTCAATAGCTATTTAAGGAATCGCTGTTTCATTATCCTGACCCAATGTGCAAATGGTAAAATATAAGCAGACCCACTGACCACCGCCCACCACCAAGCAGGTGAACGCCCACTGGTTACCGCCCCCAACACACACACACGTGGGCAATAGCCTAGCTAAATAATGTCACTGTTTACACATTTGCCTCCAATTTATGTTACACCGTAGCTGGCAACCCTAGCAACCGCATCTAAGTCCTTTTTTCCCGGCATGTTTTCGGAATTTTAGTTCCTGGATGACTTTGTCAGTGGTTGGTTGCCAAGTAGAAAGAGCCCCAACGTAATCCCCATTTTTGTTCAAGTTTAGTGAATTCGATTTAGCCGAAACAAAAGTGTACATAATCGATTAAAAACCATTTACAATTTCAAGCACTTCCACTCCATTTTCTATTTATTTGTTTTGTTGAGCTATCAAAAGCAAACAATCGCAAATCTCAGAGCCAAAAAAACAAATAAAGTGTCAAATTAAATGCAGGCCATTGTAAACATGTCGGCAGGGGCTTCGCTTTAATTAAGTTCAAAATAAATAGTTTAAACTGATTTATTGTGTGATTATTTCATACTTTTATTCCCCGATCCTCGCCGCCCACCCAGAAAAAACAATCGGATTATATTAGTGTACACAGAGTCATCAATTTTATTTAACACAATGAACAAATTTTTGTTTTATTGTACAGAAACATTCATATACAAATACAATAATTTGCAATTTTGCATTCATTTCTTAGACTACGCATTGGAATTTCATTTTTTAGTTTTGCTTCTTGGACAACTAAAAAAAATAATTCATAAACCTCTTAGTTGTTCCTTTTCTTGACTGCAAAGGTGGCTAGGCGACTAGTAAATAACCTACACTTTGTCAAGCGGCCACAAAAAAAAAAGCTTATCATCTAGTCATCTATTTTGAAGTTTGTTCTTTGTTCAATTTTGGTTGTTTCCATGTTCATGTTTCTAAATTCAAATATTGTTCAATTCCACAACTGTGCTAGGAATGCAGTAGGATATACAAATACAATATATATCTATATATAGTTTTTGCATATGCATTTGACACACATATGTAAAAACGCGTAGTATATACTCGCAACTCTATTTCACTAAGATAGTTATTTATTTTTATAGCTTTAATCAATTCATCTTAGGTTACATTTTAATTCGGCAAGGCCGAAGCAAAACGAAAAAAATGATGTTTTAATTTAACAAAAAAGGTTATTTGTTTTCCTTATTAATAGTCAAATATGCAAATTTAATGTAATAATATTTCATTTACATCATTAACTTACGTCATAACAAAAAAACACTTTACACGGCCAACATTTTATAAATAATTTAAAGTTAATTGAGTGGGAGAAGCACACCCAAAAAAAGAAACATTATTTTATCAATTACCTATTTAATATTTTTTAATACAATTAGTGTGATACATTTCCAGTATTTAAGTAATGATAAGGAATTGTTTCGAGTGAATATTGAAAAAAAAGTACTTGACCAGAAGTACCAGGTATCAGTATTTGCAGAGATTGTTGCTCCTGACAGAATATTTTAACTAAAATTCAGAGAACGCTTTTGCAAAAAATTATACAGCTTTTACTATAATTTTTTTTTTGTTGGCAAACCTTTTGTTATTAATATTCACTTGAAACAATTAATTATACATGAAATACTGAAAATTCGGTATCAATTGTCTATTCAGCATATTAGTGCAGCAATCGATTGACTTTTTTAACTTACTTATTAATAAAAAGAGGAAAAAAGGTGACTTATGCATAATTTTCATTTAATGGAGAGGGTTTTATGTTTATGCTATGGAAAGAGCATTTATTAAATCATTTTAAGCCAGCTTACATGCCGAATAATCCAGGGATTACATCGTTTTTGGGGACAGCTTTGAAATTAGCATAATAAAGGGGGACACACGAGATTATGAGGGTTGCCATATACCTATATATTTTTTCATACACGTTCAGTTGAGCTTTACTAGTATGTATTCAAGGATCATTACTAGAGAAATTTGTAATTAGCGCTTAAGTGTTAATATCTAGAATTACAGTTTTTCAATTAGTTTGTAAAAATGTTTCAGTTTGGTTTTCTGCCACGCTTGTGAATGCAATATTTGTATTTTTTCAATTTGCCATTAAAACCATTTCCATTAGTTTTCCAAAATGTTGTCATTTCAACTCTCTGGTGCATCATTGGCCTTATTGTGGCTATTTTTTCCAATTATAAATTTCTGCTATAAATTCTTAATTACTAAATGACACACACATATGCACCGAAAAAACAACACGTACACAGATACAAGCAATTGGTATTTTTGGTTTTAATTATTTTTACTTTGTTCTACACATTGTTACTGGAATTTCCACGTCCATTAACGTGGCTTCACTTAATCCTGATCATTAATTTGTATATCATCCTTTCTGCCGCCAGCCAATCATTAATTTTCTGTCAAATGGAATCATTTTTACTGCCGATTTTTATTTCAAACAATTGTATTGTAAGCTTATTTATTTTTTATACAAAATGCAATTACCTCCTAACACTTAAGTTTTAAATTAATAACTTTTTGCTTGCTTAGGTTTATACGGTGTCTTAGTTTATGATCTCAAAAACTCAAAAACTAAGAAATCGCTCAAAAACCAATTGGGAAAACATAAAATCACATTTCAAAAATTCGGAAAATTATATTCTCCTTTTACACATAAAATTATACATTTTCTTTCTACTTCTTAAGTTAACTTATAAACGTTTTTATGAATACATATTTTTGTTCGATTTTATTATGTTTACTATTTAAATTCACATTTTGCCGTTTTTTTGGGATTTTTCGAAAACCGTCTTCAAAAACGATCCGACGACCTCCAAGTGCAATTCAATTTAATGAGCTGGAAATGAGAGAAAATGGTTTTAGTTTAATGTTTCGATAAAATTTATATATTAAATATCAAAATTCTAATATCTTTAAATTATTTAACTTCTTCAATTTAAGTTAGCATTCAGACTTAAAAACATTCTTCAAAAATTTTAAACAAATTGTTGCTATTTTTCGTCGTCGTAAAAAAATAAATATATTGCTATTGCTATTATATTGTTATTGTTATTTTGCTCAAAAATATTGTTTAAAAGTAACTCAATCAAAATCAAAAAATTATCTCATACCCGCTTAGAGCATTTCAATATTGGACGTTCCATTTCCAGTTGCTGTTCGCGTGGTCTTCGTCACCTGTTGATTGGTCATCAACGGCGGTGGGCTGCCACACCATACCACCTAAAAATGATATTTTAAAATTTTTAAAATAATTCTAGAAAACTTCAAAGCCAATACCAAGAAGTACTAACCTTACGGAACGCTTTGCGAAAGTTGTCGGACAAAAATGCGTAGAGAATGGGATTGATGCAGGAATTGGTGTAGGCCACCACATGAGATATGATCTGGATGATGACCGACAAGTGACTTCCGCCGTACAAATCGAGCGCCTTTAAAACCAGGATGACCTAAATGAGAGAAGGAAAAAAAATATTGAGTTAGAACACCACAGAAACAAAATCTTCTCTTCAAAATTCTTAAAAGTAACGGACTAGAGTTCATGAGTTAAGCCACAACTACTTTAATATATGTATGAAATATATAATTTCTTACATAAAGCTTAGCTTAAAGAAACCTGGAAAAATAATATATTAAATTTATATTTGCAATAGAATAATAATATGTCAAAAACTTTACTTAGAAGATTATATCACTGTTTTGTAAAAATTAATTAATCAAATAATATATTAGTAACTGTATTAAAATAATAATACTGTTAATATCGATAATGAAAAATATTTTTACGATAAGCTTTGTATTAAAATCTTTATATATGTATGTACATATGAATATACATAAACTTAACTTAAGACCTTCCTCAAAAATATTTGTTAATAATTAAAAAAAAAGGTATTGATTGTAAGCCTTTAAGTTTTTAGAATATGTACTTCATTAAAAGAAAATTAACGCTGTGACAAATAACATAAACTTCTATAGTAGTAAATGGTAGTTGTAAAATTGTTTCGAGATATGTTAATGTTGGAAAATACTATCGATAATATTTGTATGATTTTTAAGTTTTCAAGCCTGAACACCTGATTTTCATTTCCTAAAAACAAAACCTATTGGCCCCAAGTTGTTATACAAATAAAATAGCTAAATTTGTATTCCTTAGATTTAAGATATTATATTTATACCTTAAGATAATCACGACTCATTTCTTTGTCAGTGCACTTGGACAGAGCATATGCTGGCATTGATAAATGCAATTTGCACATCTTGCACATTGAGTGTCTGATTGTGTAATTGTAATTTCGTTTGTAATTTGTGAGCACATTGATTTTGTGCAAACACTTTGAGCTTCCAGCTTGAGTTTGAGTTTAAGGAGCTCCAGAAGTAGGGAAAATCAGCAGCAACAGCTGCTGTTCTCATTCCTCTCCCCCCACCGAGTTATTAAACAATTGAGCAAATAAATTCAGATATGGCCAATGGAATCGGAAATGTCAATTTATCGCAACTAGCCGAGAGTGTCTTGGCCACTGTTTGGCCCGATCCGGCCCCCTTTTCGGGACATTTGTCAGCACAGCAGCTGCTGCAGTTGCCAATTTAAGCTGCTGCTCGAGTTGCGAGTAAAACTTTAAGCAAATCGATTATGTCCATAATGCACTTGAAGTCTTAGTTCTCGGTTCTCAGTTTCAGTTGTGAAATTACTTGGAGGTCATTAGTCGGTTATAAAGTCTTTACATTGCTGTGCTTCCTAAGTACGCATGCCGACAGTGTAGCCGCCTTTAATCTGAATTTATAATTGCCATAAAGTGGATTAGGAAACTTTAACAACCGCTCTCATGCACTGGACAAATATGCATACTTTATATACATACATTTGGGATGTACTTTGAAATTATTTTTTTGGTTTTATAAAAGTTTTTGGTCAAATAAAATTAATACTTCAAAAAATCTTAAACACAGAAATATTGTTCTATAAAACTATATTATTACTAATAATAATAATTATTAACTAATTGTTTTGTAGAATATTTTGTAGATATTTCAGAATATTATAAAAAAAATATAAAATACCATACCATTACCACTAATCTGTAAAGTATAATTATTATAAGTTATTATTTAAACTATATTTTAAAAATTAACCAAAGCCCTGAAATATTTTTGTAATTTATTCCCTAAGACAAATGATCTAGAATTTTTTGACTAGAATGGGTTGTATATTACATATAACATGTAATATACATGTATATACATTAACATGTAATTTCTAAAATGTTGTTATACCCTTGCAGAGGGTATTATAATTTTGTCCAAAAGTGTGCAACGCAGTGAAGGAGACATCTCCGACCCTATAAAGTATATATATTCTTGATCAGGATCACCTCCTGAGTTGATATGAGCATGTCCGTCTGTCCGTCTGTCCGTCTGTCCGTCTGTCTGTCTGTCCGTCTGTCTGTTTCTACGCAAACTAGTCTCTCAGTTTTAAAGCTATCGTCTTGAAACTTTGCACACACCCTTCTTTCCTTTGCACGCAGTATATAAGTCGGAACGACCGGGATCGGCCGACTATATCCTATAGCTGCCATATAACTGATTGATCGGAAATGGTATAACTTTGGTGTTTTTAGAGTTAGAGAGTTCAAATTTGACATGAGTGCTATTTTTGGCAAAACATTACGACATGCCAAATTTCATAAGGATCGGCCGACTATATCCTATAGCTGCCATATAACTGAACGATCGGAAATGACCCAACTTTCGTGTTTTTGAAGATAGAAAGCTGGAACTTGGTACAGATTAAATTTTGATCCATCCTACCAAATTTCATAAGGATCGGCCAACTATATCCGATGTTTGCGATATATATCCGGTTTTAGCTGCAAGGGTATATAAACTTCGGCTCCGCCCGAAGTTAGCTTTCCTTTCTTGTTTTTTTTTTAATATTCTAACAGATAATGAATAAAATATTAATATATTTGAAAATTATAATACAAAGGAACATAATTAAACACGATATTCGCAGAGTTAGAGTGTTTTAATGTAATTTTTGTATCTTCTTTTATAAAAACTTTTGAAATATTTCTTCTTAAGTTATGTTCCAAATATTCGACATATGAAAAATAATATCCGAGAAATTTCCGTCCTTTTTGTGACCTTTTCAAAAATATTCCATGCATTTAAATGAAACCATTTTTGCAAAATCGCAATAATTGTTAATAAGAATTGTTCACGGCCATCTGTCAATCGGATGGCGACAAACTAATTAACCAAATTACAAAATTGACAGTAAAGTGAATGTTCATTTATGTTGTGCACTCCTGGAATTTACAAATGAAATATATAAATTAAAATTTTGTCGGACTTACATGAATGGGTAGCCAGCAGATGGCAAATGCCAATACGACGACAACAACCATTCGTGTGACGCGTCGCTTTCCCTTCCTAAAAATACAAACACACAAATATATATATGAGGAAAATAGGAAATCAGAAAATATGAATATCCAGAGTTAGCCAGATATATACACAGAGATAGAGATAGAAGTGGGGGTATATAAATTATGCCGCAGTTCAGTTTCTGAATTTTGCATTGCCTGCTGCTCTTTGATTTATGAACTTTGCGTGCGAATTGCAAACTCGACGCATTGAATTCATTTCGTTTCCAGTTGAATTTTTGGCTTAAAAATTTAAAACAAGAAAGGACGAGTAACCCGATTATATGATACCCAGTACTCTTCGTTTTCATCCACACCCATTCTTTTTATAGTTTATTTTTAATTTAACAATAATTTTACAGAATAAATTAACAAAACATCGATGCACCAAAGCATCCATTATTTTATATTTTCAAAAAATATAGAACTTGGGATTTACAAAATAATATAGAATTTGGGATTGAAAAAAATAAAAGAGGGTGTAACTGCGTACTGAAAGTTCTATTTAAAATATATTTTATTTAGGACTTAGCAATGTATTCAAATCAAGGTGTAAAATCATTATAACCTATTTTAAAAAAATATAAAATGGGATTGGGACAAATTTGATCACAAATTGAAAAATAATAGAAATTTAGCATAGCTTAAAATAATTTAACCTTTTTGAAATTAAACCTCAACCTGAGGTTTTTTTATTTGAAATTCTTTTTTTGAAGGTTTTGAATATGACAACTTCTGTCCTCTCGGGAAGGAATATCCATGAATTTATTAGAATTTTTTAGCTTTCGCAGTTAATCTGTGTTGCATGTGTTCGCATGTATGCATGGCATATGAAACTAAGACGGTCAGAAGGCAGAAAAAATGTTGCCATAAACTTGATCTGTGTAAGTATAATAGGAGTCTACATGCATAATTTTATACCTCTACATTTACATTCCATGAACACAATACACCCTTGTACGCTATGGGTACCGGGTATAAAAATGAGCCGGTATAAATTCTATACATATATGTATAAAGAAATTAGAATATATCAAAGCCATAATACATTTTTATAGGCCATTCGTTTGGTTATAAAATATAAAAGACAGGCACTGCATTGGGTTCGATATTCCATTGTCAGTTTCAATTAAATTACCTTTTAGGAAAGTTTCCTAACATTTTATTTATTTGAAAAGTTTTCCATTACTGACTGAGTAAAATTTAATAGTTTTCTTGTATGATAAAACAAAACAAACTTCTTGAAAGTATTTTCAAAGTTCGGTGGAAAATAAATACGTTCTTTAATCCCTTTCCCCTCGTATAAGTTTAAGTTCAAACTTGAAATTGATGGTTTGCTGACCTCGAACACGTATTGTAAATATAGATTTTGTTGTGGTTACTTTAAAGTATAATTTTTGCGGAATTAAAGAAAGTATATGGCTCAGAGATATGTTTTTTTTTTATATTTTTTGTTTGTCCCCTACAAATTCCTCGAGGGAGCAACGTTCACATTTTTCACTTCAGTTTCAGTTTCGTTGACCCGGTATACTGGCCACTTAAAAATGCATGAGCCAAAGCTCATGAGCTTTTCTCGTTGCCTAATAAAAAGACATTCATCATGGTCCCAAGCAACAAAAAGCAAAAGCAACAGTAGCCGCAGGTGCCACATGGCGTATACGCGATATTGTTCTATGTGTTTGTAGGTGGTTTGTATTTTCTCTTCTTCGTGCTTTCTAAATTTTTATATATATTTCACATATATATATAAAATATACTTATTTATTTTTCTACTCACCGTGACTCAGCGGAAGGTTTGCAGCCAGGAGCACTTTTCCACAGACGAGCCAACATACCCATGTAGAGGAAGCAAATCAGCGTCAAGGGTGCCACATACGATGATAAAAAGAAAGAAACCTGCAAGGAAAAATCAAAAACAGAGACACAAAATAAATAAAAGACAATTTTATTGAACAGTTTCGGTTTGGGTGAAAAAAATCAAAGAAAATTTGTCGGGCGACACCTCACAACGCAAGTTGTAATCTCATTGAATTGGACAAGTAGGATTTTTGATAATTTATCGAATTCATGTAGACAGATCATACTTTAGTTTAAAATATATTTTTACTCCTTAAAATTAAAATGGATTTAATTTTTTTTTTTACAATGAGCTTAGAAATGTTCAATTTGGTATAATCATATTCATTTCTTAGGGAAATTAAAATGTAATTATTATAAAACAAGAAAGGAAAGCTAACTTCGGGCGGAGCCGAAGTTTATATACCCTTGCAGTTAAAACCGGATATATATCGCAAACATCGGATATAGTTGGCCGATCCTTATGGGAATAGGAATATATAATCCAATTTATTACAATACAAAATCTAAAAAAAGTCCCAAACTTCTATCTTCAAAAATACGAAAGTTGATATTTCTACCAAATACCATTTCCGATCGTTCAGTTATATGGCAGCTATGGGATATAGTCGGCCGATCCTAATGAAATTTGGTAGGTTGGATCAACTGACTAAAAATAGAATCTGTATTAAATTCCAGCTTTCTATCTTCAAAAACACGAAAGTTGGGTCATTTCCGATCGTTCAGTTATATGGCAGCTATAGGATATAGTCGGCCGATCCTTATGAAATTTGGCATGACGTAATGTTTTGCCAAAAATAGCTTACATGTCAAATTTGAACTATCTAACTCTAAAAACACCAAAGTTATACCATTTCCGATCAATCAGTTATATGGCAGCTATAGGATATAGTCGGCCGATCCCGGCCGTTCCGACTTATATACTGCGTGCAAAGGAAAGAAGGGTGTGTGCAAAGTTTCAAGACGATAGCTTTAAAACTGAGAGACTAGTTTGCGTAGAAACAGACAGACGGACAGACGGACAGACGGACATGCTTATATCAACTCAGGAGGTGATCCTGATCAAGAATATATATACTTTATAGGGTCGGAGATGTCTCCTTCACTGCGTTGCACACTTTTGGACAAAATTATAATACCCTCTGCAAGGGTATAAAAATAACTATGTATACAAAAAAATTATTTTACAATTGATGAAACAAAATATGAATTTTTTGTATGCCTATTATTTAAGGCAAGCTTATTACCTTAGCTAGTTTTGGTTTAACAAATCAAATAATGTAAGCAATTTGGCTTTCTCTTAAAATTTAAAAAGTTTAAACCTAGTTTAAATATAATTATATTTTATGAAAATGACAGCTAAGACCCACAGGAACTTCCCAGGAAGGCCATTTAATTTTCTTTGAAATGTTCACACCGTTATTATTGAATTAGCCCACAACCACACGAATGTGGCAATTTGCACTTGGTCACTTTGACTTAATTAGAAAGTAGTTGGCCACATTTCAGTTATGCCATTTTGTGGTCAAACTATTATTTAGCGTAGCCGCAAGGTATTTTAGTTGAGTTTATTAAAGAGGCTTAATAAGTTTTACTTAAACAACTAGTTTATTGAAAAGTGAAGGACTTGTTAAGTACTTGAAGGATTTCTACGTAAGTATTTAACCCTTTTGCTTAAGAATATTCTACGATTTTGTTTCCTATTTTTTTTTTTATCTTTTATATATTTTGATACCAGCTCATTTTTTGCTTCTGTTTCTGGTCGAAGGTCTTTCCTCAGCCATCTGCTGCCATGTCAGCGGCTTTTGTTTTTGCATGGAAATTGTCAGAAGCGCTGACCCGTAATGCTGACCAGATACCAGATATGAGTACCAGACACTTTTTCCCCATTTTCCTGCCCATTCAGTCCAGCTTGCTCCACCAGCTGCCGCTTAGCCTTATTCCCAATAGTCAGAAAAAGATATATATGCGAAAATATATACGTATTGGAATTTAGATATCTTTATATATTTATATATTTGCGATGGTTACGCTTGCAAAAAGCTGACAGATAATACTGGTAGTTATGCTGGTACGGCTCTGAATGGTCATCCAATTGCGTGGATATTCGCAAAAGTAACAATATCGGTTTTTAAAAAGTATATCAAGTATAAAGTATATTTTATTACAGCGGCTGAAAATGTACTGATGGAGACTCTCAAGGGTCAAGATTATATAAGACTCGATGGGAGTACCATGGATTTAAAAGTATTTATTTATTTTCAGTTAAGTATGGGCATAATATTTTGATGCAATGTGACCAAGATAACTTAATATTACCTCAGGGTGGTCATGCACTTTATCAAAAATCCTCATTATAAATTCAATAGAAGATATTTATTTTTTTATAAATGCCTTTTCAATAGTTTTATAATTAAGCTTTAATATTCGACTCTATTTTATAAAAAAATGTATTTTCATCTGCGTTTGCCATTTTAAACAAATGCATAGATTCCCAATTAATCAATGAAAATTCAAATATATTTATTTTTAATTTTATGGCTGAATAATTTTTGGAGCATTTTAATCGCTTCGCTGGAAAATGAAAATACCTTCATTTGCAGTAATTTCTGCCTTTCAGAACTTCTGTGAGTTGTTAATCCATTGAGTTCTTTGGACCAAACTTTCAAGAGCCGCTAGCGTTTGGCATTTAAAGTATTCATAGTTCACTTCGCTCTTAGGGTTTCAAGCCATATTTTTTGTTTTTTTAATTTTTTGGTCTGTGCATTCATTTGGGATATCCAATGAGCTGCAGGCTTAAAATTCATTTGGCGGCGCCTCAACTTTCGAGTGGATTCTGTTTTTCTTTGATTGGGTACGGCGGAGTGGTGGGGTAGCGCCGCTAGAGATGGCATTCAGCAGCCAAGTGTAAATGATTAAGGGGCATCCCCGAGCATTTTCCCCAGGTCCGGAAAGCGGAAAACAGGCAATGAAAACAATAAAGCACACGCGGCAAAGCCAAATATGCACAAAGGTGCAAGTCGAAAAAAAATATGTACATATATCAATTGTGAGCCGTGAGCCTTGAAATGAAAGCAATGAAACGGAAACAGGACGAAGAGAATACTGGAAAAAATATTGCAATTGATTTGAGGAATTTTTAACCTCCGGGTATCTTTAAATATTATTTTAGGAATATTATTTTAGTCCTAATACAATTTTATTCAGTATTTACAGTCTTATAGACGTCATTATCTAATCTTATTATTATAATAGTTATTATCAAACCCTAAACATATTTTAATGTTACCAACATTGCTTAAAAATATGTTTACAAGATTTTCGAGAGATATATATATTTAATTTTTCAAGAATTTCAAGCTTTATATTTAGTACATAGGTATTTCATACTATTCAATTAAGTGTGGCCATAGTTATAATTAATTTAAATCTTTCTTGCAATGTGACCAAGCTACAAAATAAATAATTTTTGTTTTAATGTGACCAGGTGCCTAAAAGATATTATTGTATAGGGCCTAACCTCCAAGGTAATATATTAATATGATAATTATAAGGTTAATCGATAGATCGTTTTCCTCAGTGCATCGATGAAATCGCGTATGCCACAATTGTTAATAATCGCTGCCACGCCTTCGGATTCATATTTCAAGGGGCGGCCAAGAAACAAGGGGGCGGGGCAGGGCCCTGAAAATGCCTGACAGCTATGGAATCGAAATCACTTTGTTGGGATTACCCGGCCGTGGCCAATGAACATGTCGTTTGTTATCGACAACGACAACGAAAACAAGGACATAGCAGGGACACAGGACGCGAGGACCGTAGGAGGAGTGACATAATCCGCCATGACACTTCTCCGGATCCGGGTGCGAATGCTCGGAATCTGCTTTCCTTACCCATTAATTTACCCAAATCAAAAGGGAACATCGAATTAATACAACTCCACAAAAATTATAAAAGTATTAAAAAATATATAAGCTATGGTTTTAAAATGTAAATCGTCCCAAAAATAAAATAAACACATCACTATTTATTTTTTCGATAAGTACCATCGATATTTAATGGCTAATTATCTTTCGAATACTTTTGTGCATCCCGGAATAACTATTATTTTATTTGCAAGAGTTAAGCAGTTTACTGAGGCATTAATTAATGCAAGAATCGAAAAGGAAATTACTTGTAGTATCACTCATCGCAGCGTCAGTGATAATAATGGCAATGATATCTCTGGCAAATTCTGCAATTTATGACACATTCGCAAGACAATGGAATTTATGTGTCACCTGTGTTATTAACATCTCCTTATTTTATTCTTTCTCCCATTATCCTGTCATTAGTTGATTGCCACGTTTATTGAAAGGTAAAGTAAAGTGCGAAATTGGTTGATGTTTTTTGTAAGTTATTATTTGGAACACATATACCAAACACATCTTTAAACTAGAAGGTTTTATAGAGAAAGCAGTTTTTCGATAAATTAGGAGCTTTCGAATTTTAATGATTAATCGTATAAAATTTTTAAAAACAAAAAAATATCGATAAATAAGCACTTATTAATCGTTATATATTCTATATAAAAAGATTTTGCTGAACGGAAACCTTTTAAAGTCTAAACTTAAAGCTGTGATTTGCAAAATTTTCTTCATTTAAGTTAACTTTTCTTTCGGCCCAACTGTTTAGGAAAAACTTTTAAAAACTTGTGACCCAAAAACGATCTCATCTGCTTTTAGCAAAATTGCCATTTAAAACTAAAACAATACAAAACTGAAAGTCATTGGTGGACAAAATGATTAGCAAACATTTCAAAATGGCTTTTCTTTAAATTTTTTGTCCAATTGACGAGCCAGAGACTTGAGATGTCAATAAGGCTTGTCGGATGTATGAGCAGACACTCATCCAGAAAGGGAAGCAGAGTTAAGAAACTATAAAGTTTTGGTTATAAAACTTCATTTCACGACTGTCCTCACTTAGGAAATAGGCGGCGATAGAGAAGATACAAAGATACTCCGCCTCGGAATGCAGATACATGGATGGCCATGAAATTTTACAACACAATCGCAACTGAAGGGGCGTGCCATAAATAAAAGTTGCCAAACTTGAGGGAAACAAATTTTTTTTCTTGGATACTTTTTTGTTTTTTTAACTTTATGCGGATCCTAATAAAAAGCCATAAACTGAAGTGTGTGCCATATGATAAATGGTGTGGGGTGTCGGGCACACATATCTCTAATACTCGCCATGACCCAAAAATTGCGCCTGGGATTTGTCCATAAACGCAACTGCGGCGCCTCTTCAGACACTCAGCGAAATTAATCAACTTGCCACAGGCTCTGATGGTCCGCTGATGAGTGCCACTCCTCCGCCGCGACCTCCTCCTCTCTTCGTTTCATAAATTTCCCTCATGTCTTGTGGCAAAAAATAAAAATAATCAAAATAATAACGAGGATTGGAATTATGAATTGGCTTCAAACTGGTAAGATATGGTAAGCCGCAAGGCTGAATGGATAAAGCTTTAATAAAATTGGAGCTTCCAATCTGCCAATTGGCACTCTAAAAAGTATGGAGTATAATATTTGTTGTGAAATTTCTACTAAGCGAGGTAAGCCAAGTTTTAAAAAGTTCTTGGCTATAATTGTTTTCTATTATATTGTGAAAGAAGATGGCTTAAATGGCTAGACTCTTAAAAAATCCAACAGCTCCGTACAAAAACATACAATAAATTATTTATAAGGAAGCTAGAGAGCTAGATTTGTTATTTTACAATAAAATATATACAATAAATTTAATATTAAACCAATTAAATTTAACTTAAACTTAAATTTTATAAAATTCTGTCAGATATTCGCTGTAATATATATTTTTGTGTATTAAAAAACAAAAGGCTTATTACTTATACAGTTATTTTTAATAAATATTAAAAGTGCTACAGTAATAACAAGAAAAAATGCATTCCCTACTAAAGTATCATTAAATTACCAAAAGGTATGAAATAAAATTAAATAAATGTAAAGAAATCTCCCATTAGGCTTTGAAACATATATTTTTAATAAATTTGAAAACAAAAATATTTTCCTTTTACTAATTTATTTTTAATTGGCTGCAAATTATACGAATAGTTTAAGTACCAGCTTTAAATACTTTAAAAAGAGTATTGCATCTCTGCATGGCTTAGGCTGAGAGGTATATTTAAACAAAAAAAGTCAACTACCTGTATCCTAAAGGTTTTGTTTTGGATTGTTTATAAATATATAAAAACTTTAGTTTAACCTCTTGAAGACACTGACTTTTCTCATTTTCAACTCCCTTTTCCAGACTATTTGTTTTATTTTTATGAGTTCTTTACGATGACAACCATTCGGTCGTTAGTTTCGTTGTTCGTTTTGCTTTGATGGATGTGTCGCGTAAGTTTGATCCATTTTTATTTTATTGCCCGACAGGGCTCTAACTAACACAAATATATTTTATCTATATAAATATATATATATTGACCCTGGCAATGGTGATTTTCAGGGGAGGAAAATCAAAATCGCACTAAAACCCGACATGATGGTACGAACACATTTTGCTTTATGGTGAGATGTTTATGCTCTTACTTTTTCTCTTTCGTATAAATAGAAAATCAATTATAAGAAATAAAAATAGGTATTAAGCTTTTTAAGGAACTAATAAAATACGTACTAAATAAAAAATTTCAGCTTTTAAAAATATCATTTAGAAAAGTCCTTTAAAGAGCATTTCCTAATTTGACTTTGTCCTAAGTTGTGGTTTCCATTTCGTGCTTTCCAAAGCGATTTATATGCACAGTCCTGGAGTTTTTTGGGGGGAGGGTTTGTGGGGGACCGGCGAGGACATCCGTATCTGTAGCCGTATCCGAATCCGTATCCGTGTCAGTGTCGCAGAACCGGAGCGATGCGAACCGTGCAATTTGCCGTGCCAGGTGGCTTTTCGAGGGTGTGAGTTCAAAGGAGATGTCACGGGGAAATGGGAGTGGGTGTGAAGAAAGCTGGTTAAAGCAGTGAAAGCGGGAGAAAGCCATCGGAAGAGTGGGGGAACAGGGAAACGAAACTTGAAGGGTGCATATTAGCCAAAGATACCGCACAGCTCTGGGAGTTTCAGAGTCAGTCAGTCATTCAGTCAGCAAGTCACTTACGCACACTGAGAAAAAAAACCGACACAAAAGAAAATATAAATACTAATTATAATACAAAAACCAAGAATAGAAAACTTGTGAAGAATATTGAAAAAAATATTCATTAAAAAAAAAATTATTTATAATATATGAAAACTTTTTAAAAAAATTGACAAACGAATTATTCTTAATTTTCCTAAAGTTTTTAAGCAAGACAGTAAAAAAAAAAAGTTTAAGTTAATTATAACATTACTAAACATAATGAACGTTAAAAATAATTATAACATACATCAACTAAATTATTTCTCCGAGGATTTAAATATTAAGAATTAGTTTCAAAGTTAAAAAAATTTAAAAAGAGTGTCAGATATAAAATTTTATTTTTATTTATAAAAGTTTAATTTCTTATTTATTTAATAAAAAGGCTGTACCCAAAAATTTTCTTTCAGTGCAAATTTACTCATTGGATATCTAACTGTGAATAGACCAGACGACAAAGCTCCCCTGGCCACCCTCCAAAATCCTCACGACAAACAAACTTCCGGCATGAAATTACCCTCTTTTTGAGCAGGGGCGTACTCTACTCGGTCCGGAGAGGGGCTTGCCGAATTGATTAATAGACAAAAGTTCAAGTAATAAACATAACAAACTCGGGTTGGATTCCCTCCAGAAAAAATAAAAAAAAGAATAAAAATGGGAATAAGACAAAAATATGAGCAACTCAAGCGAACGGAAAAACCATTTTGGGATAACTCTGATCTATGAGGATGGAATCGGGCTCATAATGATGATGGAATTGCGTTTGAGTAACCTTTCTCGAAAAAGGGAGAATATAATTGCAAAATACTACACTGGACTATTTAGTAACGAAACGAAGACTTAAATTCGTCTGCAATCAGAGGGCACAGTGTGCCTTTGACTCTTTTCATTCTTTTTTCATTTTGGAATATAATATGGTCTATTCATGGTTTTAGAAATGAGAAAAACTATTAATAAAATAAAAAATTAAAATAATAAAATTTAAATAAAATAGTGTTTTACAACTATAATTTAATTATTACAGTAAATGGATAACAAAATAAAACAAAACTTAATACTTATACGTAGAGTTGGATTAATACTGAAAAATAAGAATGTTTTTAAAAAACGAAATCCACTTTTCTTGCTTTAAAATTATAAAACATAAATATAAAACAAAATTCACCAAAATCGTAAATAATTTTTTAAAGATCTGCCCCAGTGTTCTGCAAAAAGCACACATATACGTAGTCCTTTGGCTGCGCTGATATGTCACTCGTCCTGACAACATGTCCTCGCAGTGGGAAGCGTCCTTGTCCCTGGGTCCCTGCAATAGCTCCTGTGTTAAGTAGCAAATATATTGCAATCTTGGCGGGCAAGTGCTGGAAAATATGACTTGATTTCAACAATAAGAGATCTCCTCAATTTCACTCAAATTTCTCGCACTGGCACTTTGAGTGAATGTTTTCGGGGACTACGGGGTACTATGGGGGAACTCTAGAAAATCAAGGTGCTCACCTGGAAACCGACGAGACTCCATACCTCCTCATCTGTGGAAAAAACGCAAGCGGTGCCAGCGGCTCCGTGGTACTGATAGATTCGCACCGAGTGTGAAAGTGCCACCGGAATTGCAGTCGTCACAATTGTTACCCAAGCGCACATGATGGCCCTGTGAAAAATAGCACAGATATGTATATATTTTTACACAGCCATGTACTAAATGATTAATTTTCTTAATAGGATTTTCTTTGTAGTCCCATCAGCTTATCTTTATGGCTTTTGTCGTTGATTCCTCAAGTTTTTTAATCAGGAAAAGTATCTTATCTTTTCAAGAATGTTTTCTCTTTAATGAAACATTTTTTTTAAAGAGGGTTATGTAACATTAAAGTGATACCTCGAGACACATTTATGCAACAATGCCAGCTAGAAGGTTAAAGTTCACAGGCCAACAAACAAGGAACAAGGCTTGTAGGTAGGCAAAGCAAGCTAATTACACAGCAACGGCAAATTGATGCAATTACTCTACATGATGTGGGCTGTGGGGGTAGCAGCTGCTAGGCACTGACAAAAAATTAAAGTGTTTTTGGGGAAGTTAAGGTTTAGGAAGGTTATGGATTTAGTTATATTTCAGATTCGAAAATTTGCTGATATATTTGTAAATTGTAAATTTGAAAATTTGTAAATTTCAGAAATCGAACTTCCAAGAACCATAGACTTGACATAAAGGGCGGTATTTTTAATTAGGTGTGGCTCGAAGGACCAATTATTGTGCATATTTTTAAAAAAGGCTTTCAAAAATATAGACTTTTCTTAATTCTATGTTTATTCACAACATGGGTAACAGTTTCTAATGGAAAACTATGATTTATGAGAAAATTTAAAGAACCGCTTACTTTATTGAGTTGGCTCGAAGGACCAATTTAATATATACATATATACATAGATTCTTATAAAAAAAAATTCTATCATAACAAAAGAGAAGTTGTAAAACAATTTAGAGCATTATCTTTAATTTTTATTGATTTTTAGAAAATCTTTTTTCCGTGTACTTGGAAGGCAGTCTGGTTAGATGATGCACTTACAATGTGGCATTGCGTTCCGTTCGCAGAGACATGCTCGTCACAGGATGAACTACGGCCAGGAAGCGATCGAAGGACATCAGGACCAATGTGTAAACACTGTTGGAAAATCGTTGTGTGAGAATCAAGTATCTATATAGATATATACATATATATATTTTATATGTAAACCCACCTGCAGTGGCATGTAACCACAATCATGTACTGAACGAACTTGCACCAAATATTGCCAAACGGCCATTCCGGCAATACGTAATCGGTGGCTGTGAACGGAACGCAGAAGATTACGAACAGAATGTCCGATACGGCCAGATTGATAATCAGCAAGTTGGTGGTGGAGCGCATCTGTTGGTTGGCCACAACCACTGTAAGAGCAAGAGATTTAAAGCGTTAATGATGTGTTTATTTTGGGTGATTTCTTCTTATTAAATTTAGGTGTTTAGGTGTTTTAGTATATTATTTTGAATAAAACTAAGTTAGACATTAATAGCTAAATTTTTTTCTGGATCTAAAATGAATTCAAAGTAATTTGATTCTTTCGATTAAAAAAATTATAAAAGCAAGCATGTTTGGCGCTTCATACAATTTTTTTAAAATTTAAATAAGTTTTAATATTCTATTGCATATTCATTACCCAACTTCTATTATTCCCTTGTTATTTTATGAAATATAGTATCAATAAATTTATAAAAATGTAGAAGTTATTCAAAAACTCTTCTGATGCATACTTTAAGGCATATTACATTTTGCATAAAAATAACTTTAAACTATTACATATTGACCTTTTATGATGGAGTGGAATTCCTTCTATGTTTCATAAACTGCATATATTTAAAATCAAGTACACATCTATGAGGACATGTCACGACATGTGCTGCTTTGTGTGCTTCTATTTTTTTGTTGAATGTGTGCATTCAATTGTGAGCTTTTCTTAACCAAAAAGGAAAAATCATAATGTGAAGAATCTGGCCGCCATGGCAACAGTTCAGTTTTTTACTTACTGCTCTGGTTGCAACATCCTGCCACCCCCCCCCCCACCGACCCCACCAAACAATTTTCTTCATCCCTCCCCCACGGCCCCCACCGTGGAAAACCTGCACCTTTGCCCTCTGAGCTTTTCTTTTCCACCAATTACGTGGACAAAAGGCAGCAAACAACGAAGACCCCGGACGGATAGGTGGAAGTGGGCAGTGGCGGTACGCAAGGGGTTGCAAAACCACTTCATTAAAAATGTATATTGTATACACACATATCCACACATATGTATACATATATGTATATGTATATCCTCTTGCTTGCTAATTAAATTAGAGCAATTAAAATTAGTAAAGCATTAAGATTTAAAAATTCCCTTTGACGAATTTGACACGCGCCACTGAAGCACTCCATATGTGAGTGGGTGTGAGTGGGGGAGTCAGGGCATGGGCGGGGAATTGAAAATTCTTAAAGGGAGTCTGGCATTGTTACCAGTTCGCCTCTTTGTTCTCGCTTTCCGCTTTCGCTTTCTTCACCCACTTTCTTGCAAGCTTCATGTTTTCTTTTCTTCGCTTTTTTAACAGGGGAGTCCCACTCCCACCCCGCCTGTCGTTTTTTTCTTGGCCAAAGGAGCCACTTGCAATTAGCCAACAATTTATGTTGGTCTATAGAAAAAGCAGCGTGACAAAAGAACAGGAAAAAGCGGACGAGACCAGAAAGTCTGGGAGTCGACGGTGTCGGACTGTAACAAAATGTTCGGAAGATGCGACGAGTCCTTGCCAAGGGATTGATGGCGGGCCCAAGAAGGGAAGCCAAAGGAAATATAAACTCAAAAGACCAACAATCATTTGAGTCAAAAAAACGGAGGAAGTCCTCCCACCTACTCTCCCACAAAAAACATCTCAGGTGGGTAAGTTAAAGAAAGTGGAAAATGTCGCGAATAAAAATAGACTTTAAGAAAAATATAGCATGGATTATTAACTAATATAATGATGTATACATAAAAACTTTCCTTAAAAAAACAAAATTGATTGGAAATCGCAGCTGTATTCTAGTACAAATTTTATAAGTATAAAAATATATACCAAAAAAAATTTTATATGCAAAAATAAATTATATAATCGTTTTAATTTTTGTAGAGTTATTTTAATGTAGTTTAATATTTTCATTATATGGGAAACTCTTCCAAAAAGGATTTGACTCTTAAAAATAATAACCCAAAATTAATTAATAATTAATAATTAATTAAGTGAAGTTTTGATATTTTTTTCCATTATGTTTATCCACTGGCCAATGCATTATGGCCACACAGTTATTTTTTTTATTTTTATTTGTTTTTAAATTTATTTATCATTATAATCAAATATAATATTTCCTTTTTTTTGGATCAAGAAAATGTTAAATTTTAAATAAAGTATCAACAAAAAATATAAAAAGATATTAAAAGTTATTAAATAATAATTGAGCTTAGAAATTAAATTTGAAAATTTTGTGGTATTTAAGCTATGACGTGAAGTCATTATAAAATAATAATATGGTCACATTATCAACCCATATATTATTTAAATTCAAACATGAAATTTAATATATTAGATTAACGTACTCCCGTTTCTCTGAGTGCAACAATTGAAACAGCGAGGCGAGGCCGCAAATCAATTTCCTTTTCAAATATATATTTAGCGCAGGATGTTTCAAGGTAAACAAAAACCGAAACCCCTCCCAAAAAAAATACAAATATATATAATATATAAAAAAGGACCGCAATAGAGTAATAGAAAAATATAAGAATAGAAATGGGAATTGGAATAGGAATACCGATGGAACTCAAAATGCGAATCAATAGTAATGGCAACAGGCGAAGGCCGGCAACAATAATAACAATAAATACCCAGGCACTAACTTTTTTGTTTAGGCTATATAAAAAGTATATACACACATTTACGAAATATACATATACATATATATATAAATATATACATTTATTTTATATATCCGTAAAAGTAGCAGATGTGTCCCAGGCATGAGGTGGCTCAACTGCAAGTAACCCGTGTAAGCCTTTGCCAAAATATTCATTGTTTATTGTCGAATCGGAGACAGCACAGGCTGCTGGATAGTTTTTTGGCAACAGATTGGTAACAAATTTGAGCCATTTTGGCAGCAGAATTTGCATTGGATTATAGCCCGAAGTTGCCAAATATTTTATTCAAAATATTATAGGGTGCGCATTAATCTAATGATGGTAAGAAGTATTCCTTTGAATGAAAGGAGGAAATTGTTTTCAATGTTGAGATTTGATTAGAAATTTCATACACTTTTAAAAGTATTCAGGCACTTCTAAAAATTTATATTTATTAAAAACTTGGCTTTTGAATTTATTTTTTTTTATAACATATACGGTTTTAGTTTTATATCTTTTAAAAAGTCTTTGAACATTTTTTTTGTTATTTTATAACGAACATATTTCAAATAAATAAGTAGAAGTCCATGATAGCCAGTACTATTTTATAAAACTAAACTATTTAGTCTGGCCTTGATTTTGAATAAATAAAAAAAAATCAGATTATTATATTTTTTTATATTATATTTAGTTTAATATTTTTTCCTTTGGAACTTAGTTGAAAAATATACTTGGTTTGTGAGAAATATAAGATTTTATTACAGTAAGAAGTATATAAGTAATATATGTTTTAGTAAAGCTACATACTATCTATTTTTTTACTTTTAATTTTTTTCTAGGTATTTTATGAAAATATGCTTTTCTTTTATGTTAAATATATTTAAGCAACCGAAAAAAGCACCAAAACTACCTTTATAAATCTTGATTCTGCCTTTGACCCAAAAACACGTATTAAACGTATTTATTTGCTACATTTTTCGCTGGCTCTCGTTTTTTGGGTCTTTTGTGGAGGCCTTTCCCCATTTTAAATTGGTTCAGTTGGAAACTTTTGGAGCTTTATCAATTAACAGAAGGCGGCAGCAGCCAGATATTTGTGTTGGTTTATACTTTTATAAATACATACATATACACTAGGCCAGTTGGCTAACCAACTTTTTGTGGGCGCGATGTTGACACACAAGGAGCTTGGCAGGACCAAAAAATAGGGGAAAAAAACGGAAAGGGTCCGAAAAGGGATCTGCGTTGGGGCATTAACTTTTTCCTCGCCATTAAAGAAAAAAGTGTGCCAGTTTTTGTTTCTATTTTTTGTCTGGCTGGCATTTTACAAAATAATAAAGTGTAGCATAATTTATGGGGCATGGCAGAAAAACGAGGCTGTGTGCGAAAAAGTTCTTCAAGCGCAAAAAACGCTTGTTATTTAATGCCAGCAGAAGAAAAAAGTATATCTTATGTATAAATAAAAAAAAAGTTAAAAGCAGGAGGCGTGGTCATGAGCAGCTTACAAATAAACAAATAATCAGGCAACACTCTGGCACATGTGTGTGTCCTAGACAGGATTTCCTGTTCACTCGCATCGGGGGGCATAAATTCACTTTTATTGAACTTTAATGTCACTCTAATGCCTACCCATTTCCTTTACCACGCCCCCCTCCTTGTCAGTCCTGCCTCCCCCTATTTTAACTTTGTTATTGATGCACTTCAAGTATGTGTGCCTGGGTCGACGTGGCGTATACGCAATTTGAGTCCTGATTTAGTGGGAAAAGCTCGAGGAAAGGCTCTTAGGATCCGCATATGTAAGTGAAATTAAGAATTTAAAGCAGTGCTTGCTTTTAATATTTAAAATCAATTTGGATACATTTTTAAATTATTACCTATGGGTGATACGTGGCGTATATTCGAGCTCTGATTTCGTATGAAAATCTGGCGTAAGTTCTTACTTGTTCTCAATTTAATATTCTCATATATTCTAGTAATATATTTTCAAAGAATATAATATAAATTTCCAAAATTTTTTTAAATTAACAACAGTTTTGAAATTAATCAACAAAAAATACGAAAGTTGGGGGATGACAGTTCCATTCGGAACGTTCTGACGGCTGGTCACATATAAGCACTTTGCACTTTTTATACCCTTGCAGAGGGTATTATAATTTTGTCCAAAAGTGTGCAACGCAGTGAAGGAGACATCTCCGACCCTATAAAGTATATATATTCTTGATCAGGATCACCTCCTGAGTTGATATGAGCATGTCCGTCTGTCCGTCTGTCCGTCTGTCTGTCCGTCTGTCTGTCCGTCTGTCTGTTTCTACGCGAACTAGTCTCTCAGTTTTAAAGCTATCGACTTGAAACTTTGCACACACCCTTCTTTCCTTTGCACGCAGTATATAAGTCGGAACGGCCCGGATCGGCCGACTATATCCTATAGCTGCCATATAACTGAACGATCGGAAATGACCCAACTTTCGTGTTTTTGATGATAGAAAGCTGGCACTT